TGGCATCAAAAACAGGATTTTCCCCCTTTTCGGGGCCTTTTTGGGGTTTTTTGTTTAAAGGTTTCCGGGGGGGTTTTTCGGGAAAAACCCCCCCCCCCCCCCCTCCACCCGTCCCTTGTACGCCAACCCTCACTTTCTGCGGCAGCGCGGAGGGCCTGAGCCGGAGTCCCTCCTGGTGATATCTCACCCGGACGCCCTCAAAGCCGCCGGGGCGAAGGGGACGAAGTCTCGCGCCGCCGCCGCCGCTGGGCGCAACGGCAAGGCCTACCTCCCGGAGATGTTCTTCTTGTGTATCCTACGCCAGAAGATGTCGTGGCCCGCTGATTTGGTTGCTGGCGGGGGGGGTGCCGAGGCTGGACCCGCGAGCAAGAAGCCGGCCAAGCGTAGACGGGTTTAGATGGCGGGGGGGGGTTACTATTAATGTAAACGCTTGCCGCAGTCGGGTGTACTCATGTAAACGCATGCCGTAGTCGTTTGGCGTTGGGGGGGGGTACTAATGTTCTGCAGGTCTCAGCAGTGAGACCATTAACCAAGTAGGGGAGGATGCTATGGGTAGCACCGAGGATGCCACATATTGTAGCGAGGGATTCAGATTGGGGTGGCGGTTTCGAACCGATTGTTGGGCGCGGCTTGTGGGCTAAATCGGGGGGGGTTGTCGCAGGACGACCGAATTGTCTATTGTGGGTGGGGGGGACGATACCATCGTTCCTTACCAAAACTTCCATTGCTCTACTAGTACTGCTGTCCTCCCTTTGGGGGGAGTAATCGCTTGGCAGGAGCTGTGAATCGGGCCAAGACCGCACAGAAGCACCCGGGCCGAGTGGGTAAGGTCAGGTTTTGGCGGACCCTCTGTGTTGATGAGATGAGAAGGCTTGCCCTGTTGTTCTCTGATACTGCCGTGTACAAATCGATGCAGCCTTGCCCTGCGGCGTGACTTGAAAGGACGTCGAACGTCAGAATATTGAAATTGAAACGAGTCAAATCTTTCCCTTATCCTGAAGGTATACTAAAGACTCCCATCCCGAATGAGGATGATCCCGGAAATCTACGGGGTCTCGGTAGTTTCTATGAAGGAGTAAGCGACACACTTCATAATCAACGTTGAATGGGCCTAGCTGATGTGTCGACGCCCACTTCGACCCTCTGTGACAAAACATATCTACTCAAAGCCCAAGGGTAACCCTGCCGCGGCAAGTACAACCTTCTCCGGAACCGTTCCCTGATTCTCGGAAATGGAAATGTCCCGTGACTTGGCGGTGCGTGACGGGACCCTTCCATCGACCGTTTTCTTGGCGGGAATCAGTTCCCGCTCCCACAAATGGACGCAGGCAAAGGATCGGCCTGCACGATAGAAGACCCTACGAGCAGGCTACCAGCCACCGGCCGAGAGCACATTGTATGTTATTATACGCAGGATTGTACTGCTGAAGAAACAAGAAGCGAAACCCCTGTGTGCAACCGCCTCTCAGACTCTTGTGACTCTTCGGAAGGCGGGTTGTTGTTGGCCGTCATTGCGCCGCATCCAGCACCTCAAGCAGGAGAGCGGAGCGTGGTAGGTAGAGTACAGCAAACACCACCCCGACCCAAGGTCTGAGAGGGTAGAGAAGCACGGACAGCCAGCGAGGACAGTAGTGCTTGCCGCAAGCGATGGCAACCGAGTCAGGATCTTCCTCACGAGTCCAGAAAACGACGTCATCGGATGGCGCGGTCGGTAGCGCCAGGACGACTAGAACCGACACGGGCGCCAGCAGCAGCGGTGCTGTGACGCTTGTATCGATGGACGGGGACGGCTTCGTAGTTGAGGCCTCGGCGATCGAGGTCTCCAAGCTTCTCAAGGCCATGGTGGATGGTGAGGGCAGTACATCGCGACTATCGTATCAGGAGATCTGGGGTGTGTGAAGTGTGACGTCAATCCGCAGTGTTATCGCATCAGCCCAGCAGCATCGTGTTCTGTGGCAAGGACAGGGAATGCCCGCACTTGCACACGTCTTTTGTTTCGGCATTCGAGGAATGGCGGTATCGACTAGATTGTCTTGCTCGCATTTCTGGATCTACGGTACAGCAGTTGGCAGAAAAACTCTAGCAGAAACCAAACATCGGCATGTACCGCTCGCATTTCTGGATCTACGGTACAGCAGTTGGCAGAAAAACTCTAGCAGAAACCAAACATCGGCATGTACCAGGTACGCTTGCAGGTACATACACTCCTCCGTTGGCCAGAAATGTTGGGTACATGGATGGATCGCGAAGAATCCTACAGCAGTAGAGTACACGAACCTCCTGTTGTAGTTTGCTCTTGGTCTAGGACCATTTAATGAAAGTATTGGATTTTGGATGAGGCCTCCAGCTCTGAGGCCGGCGGTCCCACGAATGCGCTGCCGCACCGACGGCCGTTGGTGCGGCAAGGAATCTGTAAGTGATCCATTAACGTTTAGTCTCAGCCTAAATCGACAACAGCATGGAGGGTGGGTGGTCTCATTTTCTGTCCTACCCGGTATTTTCTCGTGATCAAGGTAGGGAGAAAGGAGAATGATCAGCTGTGTACTTATATCAACATATTCAAAGGGCTGACGCCTTCCTCCAGCTCAGTTACACTGTTGTATTTCACCACTTTTCTTTGAGCAACACACAGTTATTTCCGCCCCCGTGGGTAGCAGGCTCAACAAACAAAGTTTGGTGGCCGTCTTTCGTATCGAACTGCTACACATCAGGAAGTACTACATGTAGGAGGTGTTTCTAGAGCTGTATCTTCTGGGCTCCTGTCAACACCTTCGCCACTTGTTTAGCTCAACAGCCGGGGTCATACAGACAGGAGGACTTCTCCGCCTTTCCTCCTCCATTGCTTCCATTCAATTTTGATGTTTAAAGTTAGAAGGGTTTGACGATCCCTTCCGTTTTGTACAATCAGCACCCGCCGGCGACATGTAGCCGGGGGAATCAAACTTGCTGCCGCTCTAACGAACGGGTCCTCGTGCCATCGACCTACCCTAGTCCCCTCCAAGAACACCCCGGCGGGTGGAGCCTATTACATACGGCCCAGGACTACCTCAAAGATATGGGGGCGAGCGTTGAACGAAACAAAAAGATCACGCCCCACGAGGCCATCCCCTTTCTCCCTTACACGTAGGTCTCGAAGATGTCCGTTTGTCGCCCTTGAACGTACCTTCCAAAGATTCACGTACATTTGTCTTGCGCGCTGTCTCTCTCTGTATCTGTCTGTCTGTCTGTCTGTCTGTCTGTCTGTCTGTCTGTCTGTCTGTCTGTCTGTCTGTCTGTCTCTCTCGGTCTCTCTCTCTGTCTGTCTGCCCCCCCCCCCCCCTCTCTGTCTGTCTGTCTGTCTGTCTGTCTATCTCTCTCTCCCTCCCTCCCCCCCTCCCTCCCTCTTTCTCTCTCCCTCTCTCTTTCTCCCTCTCTATTCCTCCCCCACCATTATCTGGCCGAACTTCTGCAGGGCCAACCGAGAATGCTGCGAAGGAAATCCCGCTCACGAACATGCGCAGCAACGTCGTGGCAAAAGTGGTGGAGTTTTGCCAGCACCACCAGACGGACCCTATGACCGACATTCCGAAGGCAAGTACGGCGTCATATTTATGATTGGTAGATGGTCCCTCGCCTCTATTGTAGCTACCAGTGTGTACACTGAAGGGTGAACAGTTTCCTCGTCAGGGGAAGAAGAATCATCCTGGGAGCCAAAGATGCCCGCCAAAAAAGGAGCACGACACCACACCCAATTTTTAGTGACGTCGATGATAATCAAATCAGTGTTGTCTTATGCATACGATTGGGCAAGGTTCAACAACAAATCTTTTGGATCTTCGTTATTCTCTTGGTTTTAGAGTACTTCCCTCGCTCCTGGCCTTCTGAGGGTACCTTGGTGTGCGCAATGGTACGTTTTTCGGGTACAGTACCATTGTGGCGGAGGTGATCGACAGCAGCAAGTTGTAGCCAGTAGAAGATCCCTAGTAACCTTGCGATCCACCTATTCGCGGCAACGATGGCCACAATCACCGCGGCGGAACTCTCCATGTTGGCCCCAAATCGTAGGCTTAGTTGAGAGGGAGGCGACTCTGTTGTAGAGTGCAAATGGCAGCGAATGACCACGCCGAAGCAACAGCACACCGCTCTACGAACACAATTGTTTGAGTCAGCGAGTTGCCGACAGACCGACAATTGCCGCATTCGCCACATAACGCGGCGGCCTTTTCTCCGCACCCCTTGGCTGGTCAACGCCGCTCGGACCCAACCAGTGGATGAAACTTCCAGTTCAGCAAGGGGGGGTGCGTAAGTTTAAACGACCACGCCGAGAGAATCGCGCACTCTGTAACCCTTGCCGCCTTGGTTTATGTCGAAACCTTCGGTAACATGTCCAACTCAACAAGGCCGCGTGATTCATCATGCGCGGAGAGTCATCCCGCACTCTAACCTCTATCGCCCTGTTGACACCGACAATCGACACGAACAGCCTGTTCAGTTCGGCAAGACCGTGGGGGACCACGTTCAGGAGTGGTACTCCACGTTCGTCAAGGCCTTGAAGGACGAGATGCTGTTCGAGATGCTGCTGGCGGCAAACTACTTGGACCTTTCCCCGCTCTTGGAGCTCTGCGCCGCGACTGTGGGGCTCCGGGCTATGAGTGAGTTACCGTCGTCGTTGCCGATGTTGTCGATGTTGTCGATGTTGTTGTGATTGTCGGTGTTTGGTGCTGTTGTTGTTGTTGTTGTTGTTGTTGTTTTTCTGTGCGAGCAACGATGTTTCAAACGCCTGCTGTTGCTCCCAAGCACTACTCATCTCTCACAGCCGTGTAGTGCCACGACCTGCGTGGAAAAACAACCCAATAAAACTTGTCAGGAATCAAGCCTTCAGACGGCTGGCGCGGCTAGTAGCGAACTTCGTGTTTGTCAGGGGTTAGTTACCCTATAATAGATTTTGCCAGACCATTTCTCACACACTTGCCATTCCAAGGTCAAATTGTCGGTGGAAGCACTTTGTGGCTAAGACACCATTTGCCGTGACGAGGGCTGTGGGCGTGCAATAGGCACGGCGTGCCATTGTTCACGTTTGGCCTTGAGTGGTGGCATGCAGCGCGATGGTTTCTGTTGTGCAAGTTTCTCGTCTGCCTTGTTTCCTTTGTGGGTTCTCGTTGTGCGACAAGAAGGTTAACCGCGTTAGTCAGGCACATCTTGCGGTAGGTTCGTGCTTTTGTCATGCAGTGCCCTCTTGGGTGGAACGTTGGAGGCAAGACTATCGATCGTCAGGCCGATGGTCAGCACGGAGCGTTTTTTTGTTTTTCCAGAGGTATTCAGAGAGTGGACACGGGTTTAGTACTCTCCGCCAGAGCATTACTGTCCAACCTACGTTCATTTTGGTAGTACTTCCTGGAGTGCAAAATTGGGTGGGATGGGCATCACCTCCCGCACATGGTCCTAACTTTTCCGGTCTTTACTCTACGCCCCCCCCCACCTCCCCCCTATCAATCGTCAGATAAGACGCCAGAAGAGATTCAGCGAGAGTTCAACATCAAGGAGCCGTTTTCGCCGGAGGTGGAGCGGACACTACGCCAGGAAAACAAGTGGAGCACAGAGCCCCCAATCGGCAGCTAAATAGCTGACAAGGACGAGAGAATACGACGAAAAGGGTCCTGAGTAGTATCTGCTGAAAATATGAAAAGTGATCAATACGCCGGGGTGCATCGTTGAGTAGCTTTGGTGAAAGCATGTAGATGCGCGTAGATACAGCAGTGGAAGGGTTGTAGATATATATATATGTATGACATTGGCGTGTCGAACAAAGTGAAGTATACTAATGGAATAGTGTGTATTTTTGCATTTTTTGCAACGGTCGCAGTCCGTCATGCACTTTTCTCTATCCTGCAAACTTGGAGCTCCGCTGCTGGCGTGTGTAGGGCGGGCGTCCTGCCTAGCCCGTTCAAGTCTGGCGGGAGGCATTGAAAAATATAGGGATGTTTGCACGGGGGTCCGAACAGCAGCAAGAGGGTCGATTCGCAGCCTTGCCTATCCCGACATCAAGCACGTGGATGGAAACCAATGTAGAACCTTGATATTGTCGTGAGCACAAGACATTACCAACAGGTTGGCCCGATGATATTGTTTTGAATATGCTTCTTTTTTGCGCTTGCCTTTGCGGAGGAACAAAGTCTGGAGAATTTGCCAGCGGGGTGGGGGTCGCGGGAGGTAGGAGTCTGGCGTCTCCTGCGGCAAGTGCATCCGATCGTGTCGCTGGTGTAACTTCGTGGTCCCGTGGGAAAACTCAGCAGCCCTGTTGAGGCTAACGGTTCGCGACGTTTGAGCTCATTTTCATATCTTGCATTCTCTATGGCGTAGTTTGTCATGTGTTGCACGCTGTACGCCGTGGTTGGAGTGTTTTGGTTGTAGCATATTTTTGTGAGCGCTTCGTGTCTGTCTTGCCTTGTGCTAGGTCGGTCGGCAGAGAACCGAACCGCCAACATAGTTTTAAATTTGTTTTGGCCAACGTCGGCCAGATTTCCGGTCCGGGTGTTTTTTTTCTTTTCTTTTTTTGCTAGGGCAGATCGTGAGTTCTGAGCCCCGTCTCCCCCGCCAGAAATGAGTGCCTCGACTGGTAGCATTCGTAGATAGATGCATACCTGTTCGGTCGTGCCCACTCGGAAATAGAAGATGTTATACTTGATGTGACGATTGTTTTTTTTTGGATTGTTTGTTTATTCATATACTGTCTCGCATGCTTTTCGTTGAGAGCAGTTTTTCCTCCACTACGCGTTTCCTCGCCAAAGGAAGTATTGGGTGGACTGAAGATTTGCGGCACATGGGTGGGAGCGGGCGAGTCTTCGCATATTTCTTTGTCCCAATGCATGGGTCGATAAGCATGCTCCGGTAGCCTCCGGCTTGTGTATGTGTTGGCAAGTACGACGTCGGGAGCAAAAACATTTTGCGGCGATAAAAGTTGCTTGCTTCTGTTCGGTTCACGATGTGGCTTGAGGAATACCCACAAGGGGAATAACGCATGTCAACGTCGTCAATAAGTCTTGCCCGGTGCTCTGTGCTTGTGGTAAATGTCGTGCATACGGGCACGTCTTCATCAACCAGTGGAATCATGTTAGCGTCATTTCCGGTTCGAACCCTACGTTGAACTGTCTCCTTTTCTTTCCCGCTTTTGTATTCCTTTTTTTTTCAATTATGTTTTCTCTTATCCAACCTCGACCAAATTCATCTTCAGAACGTCGATCCGTTGGCATCATACGCCACACAGATACATCTCTTTGGGGGAAAAGGCGCAGGGCTTCAGAGGCCGGGGCTACCCACGGGCTGTTATCATATTTGCGTCACTTCCGCTCGTTGCCTTCAATGAACCGGGCGTTGGCTCCTCGGTATATGCAAGTGACTCCAGCACATGTGGTGCAGTAAGTGAGCTACCAAACTTGGCTGGCGAGTGGTAGGGGTGGCGATCAAGCGGGGCATTGCTTGGGATACTTCTTGTGTCGCGATGGCTAAAGCTGTACAACAACGCCGTATCCGTGGCCGGACATATCAACGCAACATATAATTGGCGTGAACATCGTGCGGACGTACGTGCCAGCTACCCAAAAATAGTTCGTTCCAATGTGAGATCCGAGAAATCGTGCTGCTCGAAAGACTTGTCCACACATGTCTTGAGTTGCCCTGCAATGACGACGGAAACACCTAACGCTAGACAAAACCAACGCAGCGAAAGGGAAGAACCCTCACCGCAAAACCCCTAGATACTGCAAGTAAGTCGTCGGGAGTCATTCAACAAGAACAGGGTTCGCCCGAAATATACTATGGCCTTTATTCACACGTTGGGGATGATGTTGAAGACATTCGCACCACCACCGCATATCTTGACAGCACCCTAGAAATTCCACACTACAGTGCCTACACGTCACCCCCGGCTGTTTTTTTATTCCTAAAAGGAACATTGACAAACCTCTATCGCCTGAAACCGGCGTTGACAATCATGAAATACTAGAGCAACATACAAATTCATGAAAGGATACAAATGATCCATTCGGAGTGGGCTCATGAGAGCGCAGAGTCATCAAAAGGGGCGATGCAAGATGAAAGTAAGAGCAGGAATAGACGCAGAGAGTAGGACCAACCCACAGCTGGCTGCCAGCCACAGTGTTGACGTTTCCTAAGGTCAAAACCCCACACAGCTGACGTCTTTTTGACTCGAAGGGCCCAGCGAACCTCAACGAACCAAAACGAAACGTTTACAAATCTTTGTACGGTCATATCTTATCGTTATCGCCTGGCGCCTGCCGACCATTGGTAGTTCGATCCCCGCGATCCTGGTAGGTGCGCCCGGTTCTTCTTGACCAAGGGCGTCGGTACACGTTCTCCACCTGAAAAATTCGAAAGGGGGGGTATTGAGTGCGTTGCGACCCGGGTGGAGTACTGGTTAGGCGGCGGTGGACGTTGGCTGGTGATGCGGGTGTGTGTGGGTTGGGGCTGTGGATGGGTAAAATCGGCGAGAGCCATTGTCGAGAGCCTTCGTCAAGAGTGTTTGTCGAGAGCCTTTGAAGTTTCCACCAGTGATGGAGTGCTCCAACCTGTCGGGTTCAGTGTCCTTCTCTATCTATAGTTGCATGGGTCCTACGGGGGACAGGTGACCGCAAAGTTTTGGCGGGTTGTCCCAGGAAACGAAAATCACAAGAAAAGTGGGAGAGGCCGAAAAAGTGCACCGGGGAATCACGAAGCACACAAGTTTCACAACAAGACTTCTGTCGTGTACAGGATCAAGTTGAAGAGAGGACACCAAGCTGGGAATCTGGAAATGGTTTGACCAAGAAACTCCAACGCAACAATGGCCAATGAGGAGAAGGCTGGCGTAATTGTACCCCACCTGTCGAAGGAACGCGGAGTAAATGGAAGCCGTGCTCGCCACGGCGTCGCTCCTTAGACATGCACCCCCTGGGACACGGAACAAACGCTCTTCCTGGTCTGATGTGAACGCCCGCCTGTCTCTACTGTAGTCGTGGCTCTGTCCGGAGGAAATCCCAAAGCAGTTTACGATGGTACGTGAGGAATTTGTTAGCCTTCTTCTTGTATCACTACACTTGGTAGCGTATTCCCGTACTCGTGTGGACGACTAGCTTGCGTGCGAGCCCCTTCTGCCTTGAAGAGTGAGAAGAAACAGCGCAATAAAAAAACCACACACACATAGAATATACGCATATGAAGCCCCAGCTTCTATCTGCTTGCTTTCACCTGGGGCGGGGGCGGAACGGCGGTCGTGGTTGTTAGCCTTGCTCCTTGCACCACCTGAAAGCTGCTGCCAGCTCTCCACAGGCCGAGGGCGTAGGCAGCCTCCATGCAGCCGGTATCTCCGAATTCCTGGTGCCCGGTGGATAACGTGTTCGTTTCGGCGGGGAAAATATGTTGTTTAATTGACTTTTCATTTTGTTATAACTTAGGTGTTCGGCGGAACTCCAACTCGCTGCTTCATTCACCGGGCGCGCCATCCGTTCATCTCTTTGCAGTATCTTGTCTCCATACGTGCGTTTGCCCAATTGTGAGCGTTTGTTGTGATATGCCCCAGTCGCTTTGTCCTGTCGCACGTCCTAAAACCCAAACGTAACGCGGGGATCTCGAAGAGGGATAGCAACACTTTGCGTCACCTATCGGAACCGATTTTCGGAAGGGAAGGGATTCATTCTCCTCAGAGAAATACCTACACTCAGTCGATTTCCGACCCGGCAGGATTTCCAACCCGTTTTCCCAGAATCCCGCACTATCGCCAAGTATACCTGATCTCACAAAACTTCACATCGCTTCCAAGTCTGTTGGAAGGTGTGGTCATACCAACAAAACACTCCAGCGGTTCGTCTCTGACGGTGACAGCCGGGATGCATGCTTCACCTCATATTTTATAGGCAAATCGTGGAAAAATGAATAACCCCCAACGTGTTTTTGTTAGTGCACCAAATGTGATGGGGGGCCATTCGTTCAGCGTACCTCCACGTGTCGAAGAAAGATAGGCCCAGGAGACCACAAATCCACCACTAGCCCCGGCGTACCCGGGCCAGAGAACAGCAGCTCCCAGACCCAATCGGCCTCGTCTTGCTCCATTTCGACCCCCCCTCCCCCCACCGCTACCGCGGAATCGCTCACGCTTCCGCTAGCTTGACCTCCAGCCCCGTCTCCGGGACTAGAGCCCAGCCTCCGCCTGACGTCCCTGATCAGTTGCGCCTCCCCGTCGTCATCAAACCCAGGGAGAGATAGGGACGCGGAGGCGGTGGTGGTAACGGGGACATCTGGGCCTCCTTCCCACCCACCCCGGCCGAGCCCCGCCCGGTCGCCGCTCTTGGACGGGATGGCGGCATGGGATTCTAGCGGTCCACGCCGCTGCTGCTCCGTTCGCCACTGCGTGACACTGGCGGGCCGGGGGGAGTCTACGGCGGGACCCTGGCGACGGACGTTGTGCCTGCTCAACGTCCTCGTTTCTCTACCTGTGACAGATCCGTTGCTTCCTGGTGCCCTTCCGGCCGGGGCCAGGAAGGATATCTTGAGCGGTGTCGCCGCTCTTTGTCTTCCAACACCAGCGCCAGCGCCAACCGAACGTGTCGTTCCGCCTTCTACTTCGACGGGCAACACCCCACCCCCCTGGTCCCGCAGTCTACTGCCGACTGCGTCACCACCAAGGGCTGTAGAGTAGGTCCTCGTTCTGCTGCTTGCTTCATTGCTGCCGGTGTCGCTGAACGAAGTTATACCGAAACCGTTTCCCCAACCGCCGGCACTAGCCGCCGCAGAATCTTTCACCGCTGCTTGGCCTATGCCCACCGCCGAGTTCTCCCCAGACCCGATCGTTCCTCCTGCTGATGGCGCAGAGCCAAGGGCAACACCAACGTGCCCCGAAGCAAGACTAGTCGCCCGCGCAGCATCCTGAGCAGCAATATCATTCACGACGTTCGATGAGACCGAGCCCATCCCGGGCAAAGCATCTTTGTTGCTGGTATTGCTGATGCCGCCACTGCCGGCGGGGGGAGAATCCCCGGGGTAAGGAGCCGAGGTCCCGGCCTCGCGCTCTTTCGGAAATTGCGGAGCTTCTCCTGCCGTTTTGAACGGCACCACCAGCGTGATTGGGCCAAGGGTGTCGGGTGTCCGACGAGGGGCTCGAGGGCCGCCAGTTCCAGCGTTGTTTGTCTCCGGTGGAGGACGGCTGTCTGGGCTTTGCCGGACGGGGTAGGGTGGCCGGCGGTTGCTGCGGAGCTGGGCGGATACTGCTTGGGAGGCGCGAGGGCTAAGGCGTGCAGACGCGGGAAGAGTAAGAAGGTATCTGTGGTGTTGGCGGGGGAGATACAGCACGGAGGGGGGGGGGGAGGTCCTTGGTTGGTTGCGTTTAACAGTCGTTCGTGATTCACGGGTTCAGATCTTGCCACATTTCGGTGGATGCCTATAGCATAATTCTGCCGAAGGAAATCGCGTCAATTGCTGGGTGGGGCACGGCATACGCCGGGCTTGAACCGAGCCAGGCAATATCAAGGGAAACGCCCCCTTAGTGGCTGCTTGCGATGAGTACTCTTCCTTGAAAGCAACGCTATTGTTTCTTCTTTACTTGTGCACAACCCCGTCGTCGGGAGTACTGACACATCGTGTATACGCGGTTAAACCAAGAGAACCGCGACGGTACTACATGTAATCGCGTTCGTGTGTACGTTGCACGCGATTGGCCAGCTAAAGACGACGTTGGCTTACGCCCTTGGCATCGGAAAGATGCATTTTCGGATACGTCTCTCCGGGCGTGTCACCCCAAGGCAACGCGGCACAACGCATCCATCCGAAAGGTGAAAGCATTTCGAAATGGATAAAACATTGCAGTACCTGGTCTCGCAGAGGTCCGTCACGAGGTTCATGAGGGCTTTTCTGGGGAAGGTGGCGATCATCCTGGGAACGTCTGGGCTGGGCGGCGGCCGCACTAGGGCGGCGATCAAGACCCCCCCCCTGATGTACTTGGCACCCTTCAGGGCATCCATTTCTCGGGTCGCGGCCAGGTCTTCGCCGCCAAGGACCATTGCGATGATCTTGCAAGCGTGTGAGAGTGTTGGTGAACGGCTTGTTGTGAAATGTTTGGTCTTGCATTGTAATTTTTTCATTCGATAGGCAGACCGCGAACAGACGAACCGGCAGGCCGGTGGCTGGCGTTGCGTGTTGAAGGTTGAAGCGAGAGTACATATGACGCGAAATCGGCACACTTTCACTGTAATATACTCTGAGCAAAACTGTACCCCCCTTGAACACGATGCAGTCATGTTTTGGTGCTAGTTTGCATCCTCACTTACAAGCGCGTTGTCCAGATGCCGTCAGTCTTCACACGTGAAGAATTCGTTATATGTTCCAATGCGTGATATATCTAGACAATGTGATGAAGGAGTCCTGAAGTACCTTAGGGCCGTCCCACTGCGCTGCTTCGAGCATTAACGCCTCCAGATCTGCAGGACCGCCCACCAACCCCAGGGTCACCGAATTCGCATTGAAGGCGTCTGTTTGGCCCTGGCGCTCCTGCTCCCCTGCGGCATTCCTCGTATCCAAGACGACGATAACCTGCAAGGTGGTGGAGATGCGGTGCGGCAAGCATTTAAGGCAGGGAGGTTTGCTGCAAAAGGCTGTTATAAACAACAAAGCCGAAACACTTGGAGCGCGTGGGATTAATGACATGTCCAGTCCCTATATGTTGATGGCATGTCCAGACAATACCTCGGTTTGTATCCTACCGCTTGGTGTTCATTCTAAGGGATCCCATGGACTCCTACCAGAAACGGCATTCACACGTATGAACCCAAGGCCCGCAGTGAAATGATTGACATTTTCTATGCGTCTGCTGGTTATGCCACCGCCGTGGGACGAGCTTTAGAAGCTCCTCTTCCGCAAGTACACCGCCGAAAGCACTAAGGGTGCAAAACATCCCCCAACCCGTGCCATATGTAGACTACCTCTTCGCTTGAAACCATGACGGCGCACGCCTGCTCCGGGCGCCCACTCTCAAGCGTACGAGACTGCCGTCGCTCTGTCCACCCCAGGCAATAGTGGTTCACTCTCCCCGTGTGTTCCTGAGTTTTCGGCCGTGCGTGTTGCGGTTAGAAATCGGCATGCATGCCAACGTGGTTTCATGGAGGGTTGCAACGGACTGCGCTTGGTTTCAGCTGAAGGCAACTAACGCACTCGTTTTGGTTTGAAGTTTTAGGGCGAATGGGGAAGGATCGACCTTCAGCAGGTAGACATGAAATTGCCTTAGGCGTGGCTCATGGCGAAAGATTGTGTCGGCGTTGTGGACGGCTGCAACCCCGTATTCTCCAGTTATTGAATGGTTCACTCTATCTCTTTGTGCATGGTTGACCGTGTGAAGTGCGTACCGAGGGAAGGACAGACCAAAGGTAGCTTTCGGGACTGAAGCACCTCGAGCGCTGGGAATCTGTATGGTAGCCACAACAAAACCCTTGCCGTCACACATGTTCATTATTCATTACTACTGGTATCAAGAAGTGAATTCGGTGCACGCCCTTACCGGGGGGGGCTTAACTCCTGGACCGGATACTACCCGCTCTCGCCAGCCTCCTGCTGGGAGCGGGACGATGCCCCCCGGTCCCGCCGAAATGCCGAAATGGGCCGGGTAGACGGGGGGGCAAGAGTTCCAGCTCCTGTACGAGAGCTTGTGCTCCTGTCACGGCAAGAAGGGAAGAAGGGAAGGGTTCACACACGAATTCTGAGTCATGGGATAGCACAGGGGTGTGGTCATTGGGGTACCCGGCTGTAGCCCTCACGTCGAACTGTAGTGGTTTCGCCGGCTCGACTATGAGAGGGGGAGAGCACAAACCGTCCTATGGGGCTACAGTAGTCTTACATTGGCATGGAACAGATAACGTTTTGTTCACAACTTTCAGTTAGTTGACGTCGGGAGGAAACGTGTATGTACGTGCCCAATAGGGATCGTGCGACGTGTGCGATAAATATTTGCGTGCTTTTGAATACGAGCGCTTTAATGAAGTGTGACGCCACCGTTTACAAGTGGTCCAGGCGACGATGAGTGTTTCGAAACATTCGCTGCGCATTGAATGAGCCATCCGTTCACTTCAAAGCCATGCAGATACGTGAGTGCATATGAAGCATATCTTGTACCCGTGGGGCAGGTAAAACGTCTTGGCGGGGCGAGTATCACTCTGATAGGATTTGACTACATTTCTTGGCATAAGCAGCACTATCGTACCCACAGCCGACGTAGATAATCTTTATGAAAGCGGCCCAAAGAGGGTACGCAACTCCAAGCACGTTCCCAGCCAAAAGCGAGAAAGCCTTTATGATGTGTCTCTAACCAAACATACCCGTTCGTGCTATCCCGCAACACTCCAAAGGTTTGCTGCAATGTTCTCGAATTCCCAAGGCTGTATTACTTCACCGAACTTTTTCGTATTACATTAGTCAAATATCCAATCTTGCCTGAAAATGGTAGAAGGCGCCCGCGCGACATTCTCTCCCCCCAGTGGATGCCGCAGTATTAATGAATTCTGCGAAACACAGCGGGGTGAAATTTGGTTGTGAAGCCAGGGAAAAATAAACACCGAAGACCGAGCGTTGACGCCTTCATCGGCGAACGGCTGCGGAAAATACGACGACCCAACGCAAGCTTTGTCGCACATTTTGTATCTCGTTCAGCCTACATTATCTGCTCCTCGCGCAGGAGAAATCGACTACAGTAATACTTCGGAACAACAAGCGGGCCCAAGGGAGTGGAGGTCGTGTACTGGACCGCCGAAGTTTGATCCTCCTGTGTTGCCTTCTCACCCTGCTTGTAGTACTTCCCGCCAATGAGATACAGCGTTTGGCTCCCACCCACGTCCTTGACACACGTCTGGTGCTCAGGCTTTATCCAGTGCTCGCATCTTCCCTTGGCTTTCTCAACAGAGGTCATCGGGCCCACCGCATCCTGTGTCAGGGTCGTATGTTTGGGCATGTGTTTTTTTTGTTGCGTCGTCAAACGCCATGGGTTTTTCGTGGTCTCAACTGCATGCATGTTGAATTAGGGGTACTGTGATACCGTTACTTGGTCGCCTCACCGACACCGGAAGATGAAATCGTCAACAACGTCCTGACACATTCGCAACAACATATTCCCGGCACAGCTACACGACATACAACGCAGCAATAGTCTCGCATGTCACTCCTTTTTCTCTCTCTCTCTTCCTTTATTTCACCTGCATGCTAGGTGATAAGCCCTCTTTTCTTTCGCCGTTGCCGCCGCCGTCCGCGTTAGACGCCCCGTAGTTGGTCCCCGCCCCTGCCCCAGGCGGCTCGTTGTAGTAATATTCAAGGTCTGGGCAGAGCGTGACAAGGCCATGCCCATCAATAATGACCTCTCGCCCTCTCTTTTGCGCAACGGCCTCTTCGTCTTCTTGATCTACATCCGACAACGCCTGTATCCAGAGGAAAGTCGACGAGAAGGAAAAACGGGTCTGTTGGCCGGAATGGTCTCTGTGGGCGGTCTAAACGCTGTCTTGTTTCAGCATCCTCGCCGAATCCGAATGAGCCTAAACCTATCGGGAGACAACAAAACGTACAAGGCACTGACAAAACGTACAAGGCACTGATCCCTCATGCTTGTGTGCCGGCCTTAAGAAAGACCCATATTCGTGCCCGTGTCGCGCACGCCACAGCCAGTGACACGCGTAGAAAACCCGCGAGATAAGAATGTGAATGCCGTGGAGGCACACGCTTTGAGATCTTGTTCACCCAATAAATGCAATGTAGCGTAGGTGACACAATGTGTGCCACCCTCAGGACCGATTGTCAAGGCTCGGTTACTCCACGACGAGGAGGATGTGGAACCCAGGTGATTCGTTTTCAGAATGCTCTCGACAAGACCATTCCAAGAACGCCATTTTCGGCACCGTCACTCTGTTTCTACAGAGAAGAAATTAAGCATCGAAAACCGTTCTAGGGGATGTGATCACTTGTTTCCCCCACGGCGTGTACCCCGATTGCGCGAAGGCGTTTACCCCTGCATCAGAACCGCCCCTCTACACCCTTTCGCAATGCTACAGTTACTCATTACCTTGACGGTAAACTTGATCCTGAGAGACGGGTCCGAGGCCGCGGCGAGGCTGTAGCACCCCTCCGCGCTTTCCAAGGGCAGCCCGTGGTTCACCCGAAACGCCTGATCAGTGCATTGAAAAGGAGTTGGACAGTACTTAGAGCGGGGGCCAAGAACAAGAACGCCAGAAGCGCGTTCGATCCTACCAGACACGAATAGATATTTCGTGTTGAGTTGCAGTTCTACAGAGAAGGCGCAGGAAAAGAAAGCGCCACGGGCAAGAAGGAAAGCTCCACCACTTGACAATCTGTTGATGAAGTGAATGAAGAGCCGTTGTAATCAGTATTTATCATTGCGAGGGGGTACTGGTTCGACACCAGTTGGAAGTTGTGGCCGCACGATCTACGAGTTCCTTCGTCGTTTGGTGCAGGTGTACACACGTGCCAGGCGAGAAACTCGCAGCCGACAGAACTCGAAGCGCGTGATGTATGCACGACGAAATTTTACCTCTAGCCGTTCCGAGTAGTTGGTGAGGTGCGAGCACCTCCTCCAGACGCGGTTTACGTCGGCCTTGTTCTTGTGGATGGTCAGCTGGCCCCTCAGGTAAGCCCTGTACTGGTCGCCGAAACTGCGGCAGGTTGCATGGCGTCATTTGAGTGTAATGCGTGTTTAGAATAGGATGCGAAAGCCTCTTCTGTATGCACGGAAACGGCAAATTTGCAATCGCCGGGCCGTAGCTTCGAACCTTACAGAAATGGTGTGGCTGTCCTATTCATGCTGTTGCTAATGTTGATGCATGTTCTGGTGATTTGGTTGGTGGTGTCGTGGTTGCTGTTGCAATCACTACAGGAGGCGGCGAGTCTTGTCGATGCAAAGGAGGGTGTAAGAAACAGACAGCGCACCCTCAGCTGGTTCCTTAGGTACCGCTCTCTACAGAGTGCTACCACAGCACAACAGTCGAGGGGTTCCCATCTCATCGAAGGTGCTTCGCAACAAGCTTAACGTCAGGCTATGTATCCTCCCGAAGTCTACTGAAAGGGATTACGAACCTGAACGTAATAATGTCGAAGTCTTGTAGCTCCGTGGGCTCCAGCCAACCCCTACGCATGTCGCCGAAAAGCACATCGAGGTCCCCGAACGCCCAGTGGGAGTATTCCGTCAGGTATTCTCGGAAGAGCCAGCCGAACGCAGGCTTGAACTCCACGATGAAGTACGGTGACTGAACCGATTGCAAAAAAAAACGCATGCCCACGCGGCGACGGGCAGGGTTCGAGCTTCGGTCACGTTTACTTTTGTCTCTAGCTCTTTGCAAAGGCTGGTGGGATGGGAGCACTCTGTGAGATAGGGTCCGAAAGCTCCACCCTAACACTAGCCCGTACTCCACGATGAAGACGGCGACTTCACGCGTTATATCACGCATACATGTAGATGTCGAGAATATCGCTTGGGCTACTCGAACCACGAGTCACGTTCAATGCTCTGTGTTTTCGTCCCGTCTAGCCTTGGCGCCAATCTCTATCTTTCGTCATGTGATTATCGCACCAGCCGGGGTCACGCAATCGGGAAGGTAAGCGCTGGAGTTATTGGGGTTTCTCGAAGCCTCCCCTGCGGTGCCCGCCTTCGTTATTTAGCACGAAAACGGGGCTGACACTTCTTGTTCTCATTTAGTGTTTTTCTTGACGACGATGGGAGTCCAACCCTACACAAAATGTTTAATGAGTTGTTTGCACTTCAGAGAGATCCGAACAAGCAATCTAGAGAGTTAGAAGACCAACTGACCCACTATCGTCTGAGTTTTGCCTTGTGGTAGGCTGTCACAATGGAGTGCTCCTTCACCACCAAGCACGGCGATGCGGCAGACACAAAGGCGGTTGGTGGGGCTTGATGCGCTCCGCAAGAGAGTGCCACCAACTAGCAGTGGCCAAACCCACCGAAAACAGAGTGCACCTGCAACACTCTACCCGAGACTGCCACGATGGCACACGAACACCGGGTCCTCACCGTTATCAACAGCTGATGCAAGAACGAGGCAGCCCTCTTTCGTTTGACGGCGTTCATGGCGAACACTTCCGTGATAGATTCTTCCCAGACACGACTTGTGGCCGCCGTTTCTACATCGGCATCTTCCCCCTCGTTCCCGTCGTTTTCCTGCACCTCTATCTCGGCGTGGGATTTTTGGGCACCATCAACATCGCCATCAAAATTATCGCCGTCGCAATCGCCACCATCCAAAACATCCCCGCGGTCACCACCGTGAGCGGGTGAGGGGTCGCCTGGCTCAACTACCCCGGCTAGTAGCCACGCCATTCGTCTCGTGGTCATGGGGAAGAACTTGATGTTCGGGGGGCTTCGCTTTCTCACCAGTTTCTGGTTTTTCAAGTGTTTGCGGGGGGACACGGAGACATGCTGAATGCGTGAGTAATACACTTGCGGTGATTGGGTCAAGAGCTACCGAACCCTGCAGAGTGGCAGCGAAACGCCGCCAGAGTTATTATTGTACGAGAGAGCAATGGTTCCAGCCTTTGTCGGTAGCGACACACTTTTTCTCTGGTCAGTCGAGTAAAGTGTACAGCAGCACGGTTGCGTCAGCATTTCTTGTGACGTGACACCTGTGGAGCTTGTAGACAATGCTACCCACGGGTGGATGCGTGTGAATGCTGCAGGGATGGGCGGTGGTGGGATCTGCGCCGTGAAATACGTAGGCAGGGTCTCTCCCCAAGATTTAGTGTTTATAGACTCATGACGTTTGAAAGACGACAGGTTCCCACAACAACAACGTTTGACACATACGCGTGTAGGTCCTTCAACATCGTAAGACGGACGGGGAAGTCAAAGGTGATTCGTTTGGACGCATTGGTTCGCGCGAACGCTTCGTGTTCCTTACAAATACGTTCATATGCGAAAAGGTACGAGCTACAATGAGAGACAAGGCAAAGCTACTACAGTAGTACGCCCGCAGCAGCGTATGACGCAGCCAACAAGTCGTTCAGTCTGGAACGGTGTGCACTCCACCCTTGTCCTGAAACATGACAACTCAAATCACCACACGAACCAAACCGAGTGCTACGGTAGGAGCGAGCTCTGTTGAAACACTCTCAAAGTACCAGTGTTTATGAAGCTTCCAAGTGCGCGAAGGCAGACAGAACTTCGTTGTGAGCTACTCGCCTGGTCGCAGAATATAATCCAGTCAACGAGCCCGTCGTTGAGCCTAGCCTGCTCCGCGAAAACATCCCACCACACGGGCAGGTCTTTCCCGACGTACGGTACCACAACTGCCACCTTCTGCCCATTGAATTGGTCTGGTTCGGTAGGTTGTGGCGGTGCTTGCGCACCCCATGGGTTTATCCCAGTGGTCCAATATTCGCTAGGGCCGGCAATCGCAGAAGTACGATTGTCGAGCAGTTCGACAAAAAGTTTTCCAGCAACCTTGACTGTTGCCTGCCCCGTTTGTTGTTTGATGCCCGCTGAGGGGAGTGCACGCTCTGTACCCGTCTCTGGAACGCCGTTTTCGTCGAAATACGGCGTGTTTCCGTTGGCGGCGACAAGATCCGGGATGGACCGCCTGCGGATACCCATGTTTTCGTCATCCAAGGCAGCTGTGCGGGATGGGAACTGGAGTATCTGGCTTCTGTCCTTGCTGTGCTGGTCGGACGAAGGCACTGCCGAGCTGCTGGCCAGAAAAGATTCTCCCCGGGTCGAAGGCACCTCTTCCGACCTGCTGCCCAAAAATGCCAAGTAGAGGTCAATGATCAACGCTCCTCCCACCATACACCCGATCACCTTGAACCGCCTCCAGTAGCTCCTGCCACTACCGTTGCTTTCGCCTGCGCTCGGGCGCCGGCCAGGCTGCTGCGGTTGCACTAGTTTCTGGTGCTGGTGCTGGTTATTTTGTTTCCTCTCGCCAACCCCGTATATCCCGTCCGCAGAGGCCGGCGCATGCTTCTCGTGATCATCAGCACCCGCAAAAGGATTGGGTGCTGATCCTGCCTCGGCTAGTCCTGTTTCTCCGTCTGGCGATGAAAGCATCCGAGAAGGGCAATACCGCCAAGCGCGCCGGAGAAAGAACAGCGGCCTTCTTCTTCTGTCGGGCGGCGCAAGCGGCAGCGTCGATTTCGGCCGTAAGTCTGGGGTCGGCAACTGCTGGGTGGGTGTTGACGAGGCGTCTCTTTTTGGAGACTCCACATCGAACGGGAGCGGGTGCTCGCCAACAGCAATGCTGGATAGCTTCTTCTGCCTCCTTGACATGTGGTGCGTGCTCATCGTGTGTGTGGTGTGGACCCTTCTCTGATCTTGCTGCCCGCACTGATCCCGAAAACGCTTCTTCTGGCTCGCATCGGAAATGCTGATCGCCAGATGTTTGGTGCAGCGGACGGGCTGCACGAGCAGTGCTGTAGGTCGAAGCCAAACTCGTCCCTCTTGCCGTTCAGGAGGTGTGTGTACGTAGAGAATGCATTGAGCGTTGCATTGAGCGTCTCACGTCTGGAGACGGACGAGAGTTGTGAGAGTGATAGATAGGATGCCAAAGATCGCAGCCTTTTCATGTGTAACCGAAGTCGTCATCATCACCTGCGCGCGAAGGGGAAGCGGCGTAATTGCTTCAACCGAAAAAAGGTACACTGTACCTCGAGCGTTTGTGTGTTTGCGGTCTCAAAAGGGTACGTGCATTGTGCATTGTGAAAGTTTATTGCCCCGCTTTTTTCGGGCAAGCTGTGTTGGACCGAAGCAGCATTAGGTCTCGCGGTAACGAGGATATCCTCCGCCCTTACCTCCTGCTTGCGAGGAGCCAGATACGGTGAATAGTGAATCACGAAAGCCTGCTGCGTGTACCGGGTCGGGTCCTAACCTCGACCCAAGATCTTGGTTGTGTGTGTCGACCATTCGGGCCCTGCCGGGGGGACAATCCTACTGCTTTAGGTTTCCTGACGGCGATCGCGGCTGTGCGACTGAGAGGCAGGCAAGGGCATGCCGCGGGCAAGAAGCACGAAGAGAGGTACAGCACTTCTTGACCATGTCTGCCCAGCTCTGAAATGTAAGCTGTCCTTGACTCAAGCGTGCTTTTATGACGGGTGTATGCATACCAATATTAATATTGTTTGCGCCGGTCTATCTGCTGGCTGGCTCTCGACGCCTGTTTGTTCGCGGCAGGTGTGGGACGTATCATGGTCGCTGCTGGGGTTGGAGATGGTGGCGGTGCTGCCGTGCCCCGAAGTGGTGAAGGTGGCGGGGTTTCTGCTGAAGGGGCCAATAGGGAACGCACCAGGTGAGAAGTGGGGATCGATGGAGATCGGCTAGGGTAAGCGTCATGCTACAGCAGTATACAACCGATTGGTAACATTCATGTTCTTTTCTTTCTACTGTATCATTTTACTTGTATCATTTTTTTTTTTTTTCTTAATATGACACAACGAAACCATCTCTATCATAGAAAAGAGTCTGAGACAGATTAGCAATGGATTCATAGCGTCAGAAAGTACCTGTATGTTTTCTTCTCCGAGTTGTTTGTACTCTTTTCTTGTTTTGTTTCCCCGCGGCGTCGTATGTGCCGGGTTTCGCGACCACGGGCTCCCCATTTTTGTGGACTATAGAGCTAATGTGAGAGAAACAACAACAACAACAACAAAACTCATGTGTAAAATAGCCGTTTCATCTTGCCGCTTTTGGCGTCGCCTTCCCTGTTTTTTTGGGGGTGGAGTGCCCCAACCGGCCTCTTGTTGTACTACTGCTTTTGCCAGAGGACTGCGGGCGTGTGGGGTACATGCAGGCAGAGAAAGAAGATCATCATTTGAGAGTTTGAGAGAGGGAGAGGACAGGCGGTGAAAGCTCTTTGGTCCTTCTACAAAACGACTTCAGTATTTCATGTGGGGAGTGTTCGCCAAGCCAACCGATTTTCCCTCTCTCTCTCCCGCTCTCCCTGTTGTCAACGAGTTAATTAAGTAAGCTCATTCGATCCTCTCTCGAGTTTAATTATGATTGGCTAACCTCGAGGCATCTTGAGTAACACACATGGCACGGATCGATTTCCTCAGCTCAGTGGTGCTCACTGTCAACCACGCTTGCCCATGCCGAACCGTTCACCTCCGAGAGACCCTTGGCGCGACAGCACTAACTTCAAGCCTTTCCCCGCGTTCTAGACTTTTGTTGTGACGAAGATCTATTCAAGCCACCCTTGCTACCGTTGCTCATATCCGCACCTGTAGAAGCATCATCGACACAGCCAATGCCAGCCTGCGCTAGGTAGACCTATTTATTGCCATCCTGCCCTCCCAATCAGTGTTTCATTTCGTGCTACACGAGCTTCGAGGCCACCTATTTTTTCCTGCAACCCTTAACATACACTGGTTTCGCGCGATTCCTGCTGGCCCCTCCGGTGCTAGTCGCAACAGACTTCCGGCCGCAGGCACGACGACTCCTTCTCCCGGAAGCCACACGCCTGCGGCAGCGGCGGCATCCGCAGCAACAGCAGCGACTTACGCAAGATTGGCGCAGCGATCGTCGACCCGTCTGGCGCTGCAACGTTCGACGTTTTCGCCTTCACCCAGTGCGGCGGCTATCCCTTCCTCCATGCGGAGGCGGCACAGAAGCACGCTGGTCAACGGGCTAGCTGAGAAGGGAGCGGCGGCGACGCCCGGTCGTGGTGGGGGTCTTGCCGGCGGTAGGCAAGTCGGGACGGCGGTGAGGGCGGCAGTGCCGAAGCGAGCCTCGCGGCGGCTCTCCGGCGGAGAGGCCTTGGTTTCCATGAGGGACGCGAACGACAACCTGGACAGAGTCGTTTTGCTCCGCAAGAGAAAATCGGCGGGGAGTGCGGGAGCGGTGACACCGGCAGGAGCAGCAGCCAAGAATCACCGGGCGACGGGTCAGCAGCAGCAGCAGCAGCAGCAGCAGGCCGGACAGAAGTCCTTTGGACCAAGCAACGCTGTTGATTCTAACCCTAACCCTAACCCTAACCCTACGCCGGGTGTTGCCGGTGGTTTTGATGCTAGCAACGATGCTGGTGCTGGTGCTTCTGCTAGGGCTACTGGTGCTGATGCGTCTGCTGATGCTTCTGCTGATGCTGGAGCTGGTTCCGACAACATAGCGCCCGGTCCGAAGCCAGGAGCTGCTAGGAAAATGCTGTCGACGAATTTGTCCTGGCCCCCTTCGAGGCTTGCCTCCAGCACAACCGCTTGCGTTCCGACCTCGGCTCGTGATGACCACCACACATCGAGTTCACTCGGTAGCTGTGCCGCCGCCAACAGCTCTGGCGTGACCTCGCCGAGAACTAGGGCCGCGGGTAGCGGCGACAGAGCCGAGCGGGTTCTCTGGACGACGGCCTCAGCAGCACCGCTGTCGACGACGGTTGTTCCCGGCAACGGCACGGCCGGCCGGCGTCGTGATGCCGAGACCGGCCTCCTCTTGAAGGGAGGGGCTTTCACCGCTGGAGGAGGCGCCAATACCCTCGGGGCCATCCCCGCAGCCCCCAGCGGGCAGCAACGCGCGGAGGCTCGGCGGAAGGTGCTCCCGCCGCCGCCGCCGCCGCCGCAGCAGCAGCAGCAGCAGCAGCATGGCGGGCAGGAGAAAGAAGGAGGGGTTGCTGAGCGTGTTGTCGCTGGCGTTGTTGCTACCCCGACGGTGGGCACCACCGGGACGACCGCCATGAAGCTCCAGCCCATGTCCGCTATTGTCGCGGCCGCGGCCGCTGCCGCCGCTGCCGCCGCTGCCGCCGCTGCCGCCGCCGACGTTGCTTCAGTCGCCAGTGGAGAGTCAAAAGCCCCCAGAAGTACGGCGCAGGCGGCGGCGGCGGCGGCGGCGGCGGGTGACTCGGGCGGTCCGGTAAGGGCAGACTTCACCGGGTGGCACTCCTGGCCGAAGACACGGCAAGGGTCGAGACCCGAAGACGGAAGGATCGAAGACGCTTCGGGCAAGGTGGACATGAACGGGTCCGGAGCAGGCCTTCCCCTCCGACAGGCCTCCCCGTACCCGTGCTTCGAGGGCAGGGCCGGCGAGAAGAACGGCGGCGAGAGCAGCGGTGACGGCACGGGCGGAGGAGGCTCGAGCGGGACGAAGGACGAGGAAGGTCGTCGTCTCGAGAAGAAGCAGGAACCCGCCGACCCCAAGCAAAAGGCCCGCGAACAGACTCCCCCAGAACAGGAGGTCCCCGAACCGGCGGCCCCCAAGCCGGAGGCCCCCAAAGAGCAGGTTCCCAGGCAGCAGCACAAGCCCCTCCAACAGCGACCTACCACACCGGAACCTCCCCCGCAGAAGGCGCCCACACCGGCGCCCTCCAACCCGAAGGCCCCCAAGCGAAAGGACCCCAGGCGGGAGCCCCTCAAATGGAATGGTACGGCTAGCGGGGGGGGGCGAGCTTCGGGCAATAGCGGCCGCAGCAGGACGCTGCGGAAGACCACGGCGAACGCCACCCGTTCTAGAAGAAACCCGGTCACCGCCGGTGGGTCGGCCGCCAATGATTTCGCGGCGATCCCTCCGACCGGGGTGAGGGGGGGAAAGCCAGGCCGTGGTTCTCCCATCGGAGGCCCCCGGCGTGCCCGACGCCAAGCGGCGACGGCGGCGGCGGCATTGAGCCCTGGGCGCAGCCGCACCGCGACTGGTGCAGCGGCGGGGGCAGCGGCGACTCGCGCTAATGCGAGGACCCCTGAGCGCAGCCCCAGCTCGGAGAAGGTAGCCATAGGCAGCTGTGCTGCAAGCACGACAGGGAAGAGGAAACGTCAGGGGGGCGACGGCGGCGGGGCACTCCCCTCGAAGACTCCGCGTAGCCCCGGCGGTCATGCGACGGTGTTGGGTGTCGCTGCCGTGGCTGTGTCAGCGGCGGCGGCGGCGGTGCTTCCCCCGGGTACCGCAAACACCCCCCTGCAAATGCCTGAGAAGACGAGGCCTTCTTCCGGTCGATGCAGCGGCGGGGGCGGCGGCCGCGGCGGGGGTAAAGCCGATGAAGATCGAAGCGGAGAGAGCAGCGGGAGCATTCCTAATGTCGAGAGTACAGAAATAGAGGACGACAGCGGCGGCGGCGGCAATGCCTGCGAAGATCGAAACGGAGAGGGAAGCGGGAGCGTGTCTATGGTCGAGGGCACAGATGTCGGGGACGAAAGCGCCGGTGCCGGCGACGGCGGCAAATCCGATGAAGATCGAACCGGAGAAGGCAGCGGGATCGTGTCTACAGTCGAGGGAAAAGATCCCGGAGATGACCCTGGCGGCGGTGGCAACGACGGCCTTCCTGCTGTGGTAGGCCGTGGCTCTGCCCCTTTCGCCGCTGCTGCTGTCGGCGGTACCGCCGATGCCGGCTCGGTGCGGCAAGAGAACAACACCCCGGGGGGAGGGAAGGCCGGTCGAGCGAGAAGAGACAAAAAAAACAAGAAGAAAGGGGCAGTGGGCTCACCCCCCAACGCCGCTGCGGAGTTAAGGTTCCTCAAGTCCGAGGAAGCTCATGCCGTCCCCCTTACCCCGACCCCGCGGTATTACCTGCCGGCAGACCAGGGCGGGCCCATCATCGAGGATGCCGCCGGAGTCCCCGCCACGGAGCAAGGGGACGGGATAGGAGGCGGCCGGCGTTTCAGGCCTGCGCTGAGCGAGGGGGGCGCCGACGTGGTATGGGACCGCCGGCGGTTTAACCTCACGGTACCGGCGAAGGAGGGCGGCGGCGGCGGCGGCGGCGGCGGCGGCGGTGGCTGCTGCTGCGGGGGAGCGGTCGTCGACGAAGCGGTAACGGAAGAGGCGGGATTTTCGTCGGCGGATTCTTCCCCGGAGACGGCAGGTTCGCCTCCGCACGGGGCCGGCGGCGGCACCGGCGGCCACGACAAGGGAAAAGGAAAGGTGCGTGCGTGCGTGCGTGCGTGCGTGCGGTGAGTGCGGTTGTGGATTCCGGGTGCCGCGGGAGCGCCGCAAAAAAGGGGGTCAACCTGTCAGAGGATGTTGTAGATCGACCGCTGATGCAGCCGATCGTCCCCATGTGCCTGTTTAGCAGAACCACGGGGGGATTGCTGCGACGCGCCAGAGAGTACCTGATGATGGAGGTTCAGTGCTAGGGGGTCTCGTTGAGTATGGATGACGGCGGTTCAGAGCTGCGTACATTTCGTAATCTTGGCGTCTCGATGTGTTTGTTTCGCCGATTCGACCGGTGCCTACGCTCTTCCCCTACGCGGTGTCTCTTCTCCTACGTGATTTCTCGACAATCATCGACACGACACAACCACCATATGCCGGACTTGTTGTGTCTTGAACCGATATCGGTCTCCCGACCGAACACACACACATGAATGCTGCTGCTGCTGCTGCTGCTGCTGCTGCTGCTGCCGCTGCTGCTGCTGCCGCTGCTCTTGCCGATGGTCGATCGAACTCGGGACCAACAGCCATTCACCTGATTGGCCAACGCTCGTACCGCTCTTGGGCGTGCGGCGCTCCCCTGGCGCTTTTTTTTTTTTCTCCCACATGGTTGTTAGGATCCGCCGCCCCCTCGTGACAGCACCCCGCGGGCGAGGAAGAACAAGCGCACGCTGACGCTGAGGGAAAAGCAGGACGAGATTTTTGAGACGCTCGTCAACAGCAGCCGCCAGAAGGACCTCATCACCCCCCAGGTGAGGAGATAGATGAGAAAAAAAAAAACACAAACAGACGCGTCCCAAAGCGCCTTGTTATTGCTGCTCCTATTGTTGTTGATGATGATGATGATGATGCTGGTATTGTCGCCGTGCTGTTATGTATCAATCCTTTTCGATTTCGCGAACTTGCTCTTGTTCGACTACGTTGCCCAACGCCGACGTGTCGACCTTGCTTGCCCTCGGCCATTTTGTTGCAGAAATACGGACACGCGGGTGGTTACTTCGGAGACAGGAAGCAGCCTTTCAAAGTAGTGGTGAGAGTGACTGTTGGCTGCAACGTACCCCCGGAACTACCACTTTCTTTAACGCAAGTCGCGGAACGGTGGTCTCTTTTGTCCTTCTTTCGGTTTCTACGCGAAATGTTCGGGTGTCTATTGGGAACTGTTGTAAGTTGGCGTTTTCTTGTGGGGGGGGTGTTGCCTGCGCGCCGTTCCGATCCCCATTGACTACCAAGGATAAGTTTTAGAAGTATCAGCTTTTTCGTTGCAGAGTGCTCCGCGACCACTGACACCTCTAACAGCAGCAGCAGCAGCAGCAGCAGCAGCAGCAGCAGCGGTAGCCACCGCACTCTGAAATGATTGACTGTAACTACACTCCTAATACTCACCACCCCGCAACTTCGAAGGTTAAGGTTGGCGCACGCGCGTTGCCGCCACTGCCTTCGCCAAGAGCGATCGACAATAACAGCAGCAGCAACAAGCACAGCAACGCAGTAAGCGATACCCAAAAGCAGCAGCAACAAAGAGGAGTATATTAGTGAACGATAGCAACAGCAGCAACAGAGATGGAAGAATAAAGTGAGCGATAGCAACAGCAGCAACAGAGAAGAAGAACGAACTGAGCGATAGCAACAACAATGGCGACAAGAACAACGCAGCAAGCACAGCAGCAGCGACGGCGTTAACCCAGCTAGCTCGCCACTCCCTTTCCCGACAGGTCCACCCCCACGTCCACTTCGTGGCCGACACGCACGCGTACATGATGGAGAAGAACGAAGTCATTGGCTGGCTCGGAGGTTGGTTCGACGAGGAAAACAAGGTGCTGTACGTCCAGGTGAGCGCGCACGATGTCGGTCTCCGCGTCCTTGACTGGCGGGTTCGAAGTTATATTGTTACCGGTATTCTAACGTCGCTAACGTCGCTCTCTCTCTCGATCTTCCTTCTCTCTCTCTCTCTCTCTCTCTCTCTCTCTCTCTCTCTCTCTCTCTCTCTCTCTCTCTCTCTCTCTCTCTCTCTCTCTCTCTCTCTCTCTCTCTCTCTCTCTCTCTCTCTCTCTCTCTATATATATATATATAATATATATATCTATCTCTCTCTAACACTTTCTCTCTCTCTCTCTTACACGATTTCTCTCTATTATATCTGATGCCTCTTACACGATTTCTCTCTATTATATCTGATGCATATCTGAGGGTAATTAACGATATCGGCAGTTATGAACGAAACAACACAACCACGCGCTGCCTGTGGTGTGCTTCGACGTCCCTTTGGCAGAACAAGGAGCTGTTCCGACACCTCCGGTTTGCACTCAACCTTGATTGCAGGACCCCCGGCTTAGCGTTGGAGGGCTGCTGGGAAACGGCTGTGCGCACGTTCACGTTCAAGCGTGCGGAGAGTTTTTCTGGCCATGCCCCGAAATGTCAAAACTTTCGGTCGGCTCAGAGAGAGACACATGGAGAACCATCTTTCTTTCGGCGCTGTCCTGGCACAAGGAACGCAGCCCTGCTTGAGGATACCACACTATCACAATCTCCACCAACGGCAATGACGACAACGGGTGCTCCTCTTGCTTTCTTCGTTTTTTTATTCTGCCCTCATCGTCCCTGTCCATGTGCATGTACCTGGTACTGTGTAGACAGCGGTTCCGTGTCGGGAGGATCAGGAGCTCTCGGGCGGGGCCAGGGGCATGACGGAGGTTTCCATGTGCCAGGCGTCGTCGTTTCACACCAGCGAGGCCATTCGGGACCGTCGGTTGCAGGTAGGCTATGTGTTTTTTGGGTGGGAGTGTGTTCGTGTGTTTAGTCATGAGCATCGGCTTTACAGCAAGCCCTGCGCGCGTTTGTGTGTGTTTTTCATTCAGCATCGACCGCGCTAACCGGCTGACCGCTGACCTTCGTTCATCAGCTTCAGCGGGCAAAAGTCACGGCAGTCTCACATGGTCATCTCACATGGTCAGTCATTCTGTGACGTCATATACACATTCAGAATAATATAATAAATATGCCGTTTCTCACGAAAATACCTCCTCGCCTGCCCGCCCGCCTCTCCCCGTGGCCGCTGATCGCGCCACGACCAGCTGGTTGGCTGGTATCACTCGCACCCAAAGTTCGTCAACGACCCGTCCCCGATCGACGTCGAGAACCACCAGATGTTTCAGGCGAGTGCACTCGCATATAAAGGGAGGGAGGGGGGGG